GCGAAAAGACTATGGTGGTTTGTGACCCACAACCAACTTTTAAATACAAACCAATTCGGCTTTAAAAAAGGCAAATCGACTTCGGATAGTCTCCTATACGTAGACCATCTTATAACGAAGTCGAAGAGGCACACCTCCCTCGTCACTCTGGACTTTTCAAGAGCCTTTGATCGAGTAGGTGTGCACACTATAATTGATCAACTCCAGGAATGGAAAACAGGCCCAAAAATAATCAATTATGTAAAAAATTTCATGCTCAAACGAAAAATAATTGTCAGAGTCGGTCCGCACATGTCTAATTCACTCCCATTATCCAATGGTATCCCACAAGGATCACCTATATCGGTAATCCTATTTCTCATCGCATACAATAAGCTCTCAAACGTAATATCTTTACACAGAGAAATTAAATTTAGCGCATACGCCGATGATTTTTTCCTGATAATAAATTTCAAAAACAACAAAAACCTTAATTTCAACCTAGACAATTTATTACATGACATAAGCAGCTGGTGCTCATACTCAGGAGCATCTCTATCCTTAGCTAAATGCCAACACCTCCATATTTGCAAAAAACACAATTGCACTAGCACCATAAGCTGTAGCAACACACCAATACAACAAGTACCTGCACTCAAAATCTTAGGGATAACCATAAACAGTAAATACAAATGGGACACACACATAAAATCACTTCTTCCATCACTACACCAAAAATTGAATATTATAAAATGCCTCTCCAACCTCAAATTCAATTGTAACACACAAACACTACTCCACGTCGCGAAAGCAACAGTCATAGCAAAAATGGAATATGGCCTGTTCTTATACGGACAGGCTCCGAAAAGCGTGCTAAACAAATTAAAAACACCCTTTAACACTGCAATTCGTCTAGCCCTTGGCGCCTACCGAACCACGCCCATAAATAACTTACTATACGAAGCCAACATCCTCCCATTAGAGCAAAAACGAGACCTTCAAACAGCCAAACTTACAAAAACCTTATTTTCTCGAAAGATACACCAATACACAAACTTGTCAAACAAAGAAAATCAAAAAAGAACCCATCAACCATAGACCGCACAATAAACCTTTGTCAAGCACTAAACCTACCGTACGAACCAGTTAAACTACACAAATACCAGCCACCTTGGGATCTCCCAAACCTCATAGACACAACATTTAGAGCGCACAAGAAACAAACCACACCACCAGATACATACAGGAAACTATACGAACACACCAAAGACAGCCATAAAACACACAAATTCATATTTACGGACGGATCAAAAATGAACTCCACTATATCATATGCAATCACAACAGATACTTATATTATTAAATATGGTATCCTACCCCCATACTCATCAGTACTCTCCGCAGAAATAATAGCCATATTAGTAGCAATCGACCAAATCAAAAACACAAGGGGAAAGTTCATGATCTGCTCTGACTCTCTCTCAGCAATTGACGCCATAAGAAACCCAAACAACAACAATTTTTACTCCAACAAAATCAGATCAATTCTTACAAAACTAGCCCCAAAAATTAAAATATTGTGGATCCCTGGTCATGTAGGCATAGCAGGCAACGAGCTAGCCGACCAAACAGCCAAATCGACAAGCAACATGCCCCTTATTTACACCCCAAACATTAATTTAACAGACATAAACAGACACCTAAAACTAGAATTCCTAACAAGAAACAAACTAAACATAGAACACTGCAATCAATGGTACAAAAACATTAACAAAGACAAGTCAAACATCGACAATTATTGCAGAGCCTTCCATCCCAAATCGAGCAGACTCGATCAAATTAAAATAACACGCCTTAGACTAGGCCACACAAAACTAACACACGAGCACTACTTTAATCAAAACCAAACCTCACCCTGCCCCTTCTGCCAAGGCGACAATACCATACCCCACCTATTAAACTCATGCTCATCACTCCTCCCTACTAAACTATCTATCTTCAAAAATGCAAACCCACTAAATCTCCTTAGCGAACTCAACCCTGATAACTTAGAAAAAATCCTAATTTTCTTAAAAACTTCAAACCTATACCACAAAATTTAAAAATACACAAAATGTACATAAATAAAATTTACCAACTAAATAGCCTAAATGCAACGAACAACATGTAATTAAATAGACCTAATATCGTTAACCTTAAAAGCCGAAGGCCTTGCTGCCAGCGCTTTACCAACTAAGTTAGTCTAGTTTTGTAAACTTCTCTATCTTTAATAATAATAATAAAAATAATGATAACAATCTTTTTTTATGTGTTCCTGCCTATGACAGTGATGACATTTTATTTTTTAGCTTTTCCCTTAAATATTTTTTTGGTTTAGTCACAATATTTTTAAATGAGTTATTTTTAAAGTTAGCATTATAACTATTATTATTTGGAACAAATGCTTTCATGACTTTTCTACTTGTGTCTAAGCCGTCATTTTTAATTTTTATTTCACGGTCAAGCAATCTATTTTTCACAAATGCCAATGTGTTAATAGCTGTAATCACTCCATTGTAGGATGATGGCAGTGTGAGCAACAAGTGCGAAACTTTATCCATTTCATTTATTCTAGCAATAGTGTCATATCACTTGAGACTTGAATGAGAGCAATCGTTTTCAAACAGCCATCTGCGACGCCAAACTTTTGCGCTCGTCCAAATTCCCTAGAATTTGACGCGCCGACATGTCGTTTCCTGCTAAATTTAAAAACGAGTCGCTTAAATACTGTATCAAGGAACACAAAACAACGAAAATAAAGACATTGGTGAAAACTATAGTAAAAACTTTCTTGAGAAGAACCAAAGTTTTAACCGATCGTGCTTATCGAAGTTATAGGAAAAAGTCGTTCGATTGACTAGATTATTTAACATGATCAGTGTACATATAATATAATAAGATTTTATGTTTAGATAAGAATTGCTTAGACTATTTAAAATGATTACCTACAAATTCAATCGTACAGGGATTCGGCTATTATACTGTAGTCATTTGTTGTATACGGCTTATGATTTAAAGATGAATTAACATATCTTTTATATATGTACCTATGTATGTTCCTATGGGAGCTACATATATGCTTTAGTCGTCCGATCCAACTCGTTCCGACTAAGGTACTACCTGCAATAGAAAAACAGCTTTTGGGAAAGACTAGTTTGCGTAGAAGCGGACGGACAGACGGACATGGCTAGATCGGCTCTCCTAGTCATACTGATCAAGAATAAATAGACTTTATGGGGTCGGAAATGTCTCCTTCACTGCGTTGCAAACTTCTTACTGAAATTATAATACCCTCTGCAAGGGTATAAAAAGGATAACTTTGCTGTGTTTTAATTTTTTTAGTTCTTCAAAATGCAGTAGGGTTAAAGTATTTCAGAATTATGGTTTAAACTTCATTTAAATCGGACGACTAATTATATAGCTTTCATAAATACAATCGGAATATTAAAAAAACAAATTTTTTTAAATTATACTTCTTTATTTTTGAAATTGACACAAAAATTCTTTTGGAAATAGTAATAATATAATAGTTCAGATTTACGACTTTAATTTAATCATGTAGCTGTCATATGAACGATTGAATACTTGAGCTAAAAATCATCATAGCTTCAATGTTTTTAGAGATATACGCATATAAATCGAAATTTAAGTGTTTCAAGAATACTTAATTATATAATATAATATATAAACTTCGGCTTACCAAAGTAAGCTTTATTTTTAGATTGTTCCTAAAGGCGTCCAATTTTAATAAAATTTAAACTGAAATTATGAATTATTAAAACATTAATACTAGAGCCCTGCACAATTGGAGTCATAGTTCCCTTTGTTTTCATGAGCCATTCGATCCACTCATGTTTTTCATGTCATAGCTCATGGTGTTCATGACTCCTATAAATCGTAGCTTATAACATGATCTACTTGATTATTTAGAAGTCATTACAGCTTATGTAGCTCATGAAGTGACACGTGCAACTCACCCGAGGTTCAAGGGATTTATTGTCAAAATAAAAATTGTAATGTTAGCCTCTTGTTCTTAAAAAGTGGCGTTTTGTGGTTCAAATTAACGGAAAAGACTAGTCGCAACGGAATACTTCGGGCTCTAACCACGAAATAAAGTTATGCTCTTGTTCTTTAGAATTCCCGATTTGTGGTGCGATTTAACGGAAAAGACTAGTCGAACAGAATATTTCGGGCTACATCGCTAAACAGTGTTATCCTCTCGTTCTAAGGAATTTTCGGTTTGTGATTCGACTTACGAAATAGACATTAATCCCAACCGGACATATTGGTCACTTTAGCGTGAATCGTGTCCATTGCACTTCGGTACATTGTAAATGCTGATTTGTTGTTTGAGCCATTGGAGTCATGAGCCAAATGAGTCATGAGTCATAGGAATCATGAGCCGCATGAGCTTTTCCATTTTAGATCATGTAAACTGAAAATGAGCTGAGTCATCTTAACCTAAAATATTTTTGTCATGATATACTCGAATCTATTTTTTACAATGCAGGACTCTAATAGTAAAAAAATTTAAAAACAGAACTACATTTTTTTCAGTAATTTTTTCGATTGCTTCTATGGGAGTTAGATGATATAGTCGTCTGATCCGGCTCGTTTCACCTTAAGACTCCCTGTAATAGAAAGACATCTTTTGGGAAAGTTTCATGCAGAAGGCTTTAAAACTAAGAGATTAGGTTGCGTTAAAACTGACGGGCGGACCGGCGGATCGACTCTAGTGATGGTAATCAAAACTATATATACATTATAGGGTCGGAAATGTCTTTTGCAATAGGTTGTGAACTTTTAATTATAATTATAAAACCCTCTACATGGGTATAAAAAGTCAGATATTGGAGTTACTCGTAATTTTTGTTCAAATGTGTAAAACACAATAATTAACTTTTATTTAAAAAATCAAAATCAATTTCAAACGTCCATATTAACACCTAGTGACATATGTATCTCATTCGTCCTACTTCCAGGTCATGTGGGTCAGACGAACGGCAGAAAAGGTATCACTTCTGACTGTTGGTAACGTCACCTATAGTGGAGACCCGAGGATTCGGGTAAAGTTCCAGTATCCGAATAATTGGCGGTTGCTTATCAATCCAACACAGACTGAAGATGCCGGAGTTTACATGTGCCAGGTTTCCACACATCCTCCCCGGGTATTCACTACAAATCTCACTATCTTGGGTAGCTTTCAAATATCGTTCAAAGGCCGTACGACGAAAATTCTCTTAAAACTTTTGGATTTTCAGAACCCCCCCTAAGGATAATTGATGAACACGAGAGGGATGTAGGTGACCGCTATTATAAGTCTGGAAGCACCGTCGATCTGCAATGCCAAATATCACGCAGTTTCTTCCAAAAAGAACGACATACGATTCTGAAGTCAACTGATTATGTAAATGATTCTCTACAGAAACTATTTAACGATACGACCAGCGAGCTTTATTTAATCGGGAACACAAGTCGGACCCAACATAAATTCTCTGGACAGGATCTGGAAAAATATTTCCTCAAGTTTATTACTTGGGCGAAGGATGAAGAACCACTCCAAGGATTGACCAATACGCGCCTAAGGTACGCCTATAAAATAGAAGATATTTAAGGAACTTGCATTTAAAGCCGTTTAATAATATTTATGTTTACCAGGCCAAGGTGATTCTTTAACATTGAACGCATTTTCCTTTTACTATACATACTAAATGTCCTTAATGTATTGGGTATTTTTTACATTAACAGAGGGTATTTTAATTTTAGTCAAATGTTTACAAAGTGGGAAAGAAGACGGTTCCGATCATATATACAATTTTAATCGGAAGAAAGACTTTTGAGACTTTTACTCCCAAATAAAACAGCTTTCATCCAATTGTCAAAGGTCGTTGCTTTGTCTGAGCTTTCAAATCACCACCAGTTTTTTAATCATCATCTAATTGGGTGAAATTAATATTCAATTCTTATTCTGGGTACCGATCTCACTGCCCTTGTTCCTGACGTCCAGCTTATTCCATGTCCAATCAGAATGGAATAGTCCTAGGTCTTTTATGAGAGATGATTACTCCTCAGGACTTTTTGACATTAAATTACGCGGTATTTCACCAAAAACGACATTTGTCTTTGAAAAAGGGGTGTTGTGGCCGGGCTATCGATAGCCATATCGAATGTCGACGCAGGGGTGATTTTATACTGAAGAATACTAAGTTGTTTGTATGGTCAGCCCAAATGTTAAACGGCCGTTGACCCGGCAAATTTGAAACACGAGGGCCGGAAGCAGAAGAGGCGATAGCAGAAGAGGAGAGCCCATAACAAAAGTCACGGTCAAGGCGTTAAGGCTGCTGCACTCCCTTCGCCAAAGTAAAGTTTATTTTTGTGGTGCACGTGCGGATTACATAATCCCGGTACCTTGGTGCGACATAATTTTTTTTTGAGCTGCAGCAGCGCGCCAGTGTCCACAGGCAACAACAACTTAAAGTAAAGGAAAGCAGGACTGGGAAGCCTAAGCCTGAAGCGGCGAAAAAACTTACAAAAAATCAGCCAGGTCATCCAAGTTTGCCTGGCGATTTCACCTTTTGTGAGGCCCGCACAAGAAAGACGGCCAGAGATTTTTTTGAAGAAAATTATTACGGCGTGGAGGACCGGTACGCTTACCAAGAAGCGGCAACGGGAGCCAGTCGACTTCAGTCAGATTTTTTTGTATTATTATTGTTATTAGATTTTAAGAATAATTAATTATTTTATCGTGTAGTGTTTGTTGTAAATTCGTGTGATTATTTATTTAATGATAAGGGTTATTTACATCTTTTTCGGTAATTTTTTTTTTTATTTACACATAAGCCATAATATCTACATCTTCTTCAAATATTTTTCTTATTTACATTTGAATACATACTGTCTACATGCATTATACTTACATCTACACATAAACGTATAATAACGTCTTATACCCATATTATTTATATTTAAATATTGTCGAATTGTTTGGTTTATTTGTATGTTTTTATACCCTTGCAGAGGGTATTATAATTTCAGTCAGAAGTTTGCAACGCAGTGAAGGAGACATCTCCGACCCTATAAAGTATATATATTCTTGATCAGCATCACTAGGAGAGTCCATCTAGCCATGTCCGTCTGTCCGTTTCTACGCAAACTAGCCTCTCAGTTTTAAAGCTATCTGCATGAAACTTTCCAAAAAGTTGTCTTTGTATTGCAGGTAGTATATAAGTCGGAACGAGCCGGATCGGACGACTATACCATAGGAACAATCGAAAAAATAAATAAAAAAAATTATAACTTTGGTGTTTTAAATTTTTTCTTTAGTTCTTCGAGATATAGTAATGGTTAACTATTTCAGAATTACGGCTTAAATTTCATCAAAATCGGACGACTATATCATATAGCTCCCATAGGAACAATCGTATAGCCGCCATAGGAACTATCGAATAATTAAGCTGCAAATGATTATAGCTTCAATGTTTTTAAACATACACGCAAGTAAATCATAATTTTAACGTTTTTAAGAGTATTTAGTTTTTGAAATAGCTGCAAGGGTATATGAACTTCGGCTTGCCGAAGTTTGCTTGCTTTCTTGTTTTTTATATATTTTTATCTATATAAATCTATGAGTGGCCCAAGTGAGCGTGAGGATTTGAGCCCGGAGTAATATAAATTCATTTTCTTTGCGTATACAATTACATTTTTTTTACCCCCTGGTAAAGAAAGAATAAACAACCTTAAGAGCTCTTACGGTAGGTCAGGGTCGAGGAGAGAATATAAATTTTGGGAAACCCGAGAACGTACACTGGGGTCCACAAAAGGGTAATATGTTGTAAAAACTAGTAAATAAGAATTATTAAAGGAAAATAAGAAAGATGAACATGAAGATAAATTACTGGGAGAGGGGGGGGGATATTAGTAAAAGGGGTATATAATGGTGCAATAAAAAAAAGAAAAAGGAATAAATAAAGGTAAACAAATGTATTTGGGGCAGCTGCAAGTATGTTGGTCAAGGCAGTCTTCATGCTCGGGAGGGTTGAGCAGGTGACCTCCAGTTCAGCAGGGGGAACACAGAGAATTGCCAAATGTGTGTAGGTTTAAAAAGACTAATATTTGTGTATTTTTTTTTTGTTTGTTTGTTAATTGACATTTAAATTCAAAAATGACGGTGCAGCATAGAGTATTGCGAAACGTAGGACATGAGAGTCCAACGTTTTTTGTTGTTGTGTGAGAGATCAGGGTTAGGGGAACCACGCCATACATACCTATCGGCAGACACAAATCAATTTAAAATTTGGGATGTTATTTATTATGTATGTTTTATTATGTCGTCACTGCATAGTTTGTGCATGAAGAGCAACTGTCACTCATGCTATGACTTGATCGCACTTCATTTGTGTGAGTAATTTGCAAGACGAAACTTCTCAATGTCTGTGTTCCGACTGCCGCTGCTCTGGCTAAGCACTAACCATACAACATATGTTGTATGGTTAGTGGCATAAGATAGGGCGGCTGTTAGCGGTGTGTGGGGGTGCTACTCGCCCTTAGCTTATAGTGTTTGAAATCGATAAACTGAGTAACGGGTATATTATAGTCTAGTCGCTCCTTCTTTCTTTCAATTGGATTAACGCAGTAATGCTCCTAAAATAACCAGGAACATGGAACAGGAACATCCTCTCAAAAAATAAGTTTTATTTTTACTGATGTTGAACCTAGTAATTAATCAAAGGAATAAGCAAAATAAATACATTTTTTTGACAAAATGGGGGTTGCGTAAAAACAAATTGGATTTTCGCCCACAATTTCGACCACAATTTGCTTGTAAAAAAATATATTTCTCTGTAAAAAAGAAAAAAGAACTAAAAAATGTATTTTCTGTGTTTACTCTTAAATAAATGTACACTAAGAAAAAAAAAATTTTTAATTTTAACTGTAACAAGTATTTCTTTAAAAATAATGTATTTGCGGATCTGATTCGGCCAGTCCAAATGCAAAACATTTTTGTGAGATTTTTTTAAAGTTAACAGAAGTTCTTTCGGGTGTAAGTCCAACATGGTTTTTCCGAATTGAAAACTGGAAAATGGGTGATAATTTTAAATTCAAATTTGGTGCTTAACGGCCGCAAAAAACTAAGCCGCCTAACTTTAAAAACCCACTAGAAATCTTATTTCAAATGAATTTCTGGAATGATTAGCTTGTCCGATTCAGTCGGCTACCAACATTAAGTTAGGACCTATAACAACTTTTCAACGGTTTTTTTCTCGAGTTTTTAAGGGCATAGCAGCCGTTTTACAGTTGTTTAACACCACAAAATTTTCAAAAAGTTTGTGTTTGTCGAGCTTTTGTAGACAAATGACTTATCCAATCCAAAAATTCTATAAAAATCATTGATTTAAAGTTTTGCCGGCTCGAGGTTAGGGTTTTTTGGTGAAAAATTAAAAACAAAATGTTTTTATTGTTTCCGATATATTTAGGCTGCACTTCGGAAGCCGTCTTCAGAACAACTATAACCACATGAAAACACATAGAGAAATAACATTAGATTTTGATTATAAGAACATACATTATTTACACGACTGCACCGCGGGACTTGGAGATTAATACTAATTTTCTTTTAGAAGATGTCTGTAAATATAAGCGCACCTTCAGTGTCTGTTTTATAGTTAAGTCTCAAGTTTGTAGGCGTGTTTATTATATGTAACATTTATATTTTAAAGCGTTTTCAGTAATGTCTTTCTTGCTCCAGAATTGGTGAGTGACTGCTGGTCCTTCAGTGGGCCATAAGGTTTTTTGTGTGTATGCTGATTTGGTGCCTCATTTTAAAATCCGATTTATGTTGTGATAATCGAGTTATAAGTTTAGATTTGGTTGTCCCTACATATATGCTTTCACATTTATCATTTTCCTCTCCATTTCATGGTATTTTATATATCATATCGATTTAGTCGGTCACATCACATCGATTTAGTCGGACATTTGAATTTTGGATTTCGTTTTCTTGAACATTTGTCGCAGGGTGTTGTTAGGTTTATGTGCTGGTTTTACCTTTTCCTTGTTTTAAAATTCTGAATTCTTTAGGTATTCCGATAATCTTGGTATATACGTTACGGACATAAATTGCGTGGGCTTCCGACATTTTTGTTTTTCTTAAATGTTACTGTGACTTTTTATTAATTTTTTGGTCAAGTGATTTGGGAAGTCATTGTTTTTTAAAATCATTGTTTCTTCATGATTTATTTGGTCAGAAATGGTTAGCATCCGTTGTATACAACTAACTGCTGTATTGAAGATCATTGATTTAGGGTGTCTTGAATTAAAATTAATTATTCGTCCTGATGCTGTTGTCTTTTTAAGCCACTTTAGTTTTAAAACTAAAGTTCTGTGAACCATCGAGTTCAAATATGCTGGCTTTCCATCGTCTTCCTGTTCCAGCGTAAATTTAATATTTTTATTAAAAGAATTTAAAGCGTTTAATCTGTTTTGTAATTTATCTTATTTTACTACTGGAAATAAATCATCAACGTACTTTGTTAGGAGTCTAGGTTTCTGTCCTAGTTTTTTCAAAGTGTTATCTAAAAGTTTTTCCATTACTATGTCAGGCACGAAACTACAAATTTGTTATTTAACAATATTTTTGTCGGTTTTCAATTGCGTTTAAAATTTGATTACCAATAGTTTTTGTCAGATGCTGAGTTGAATTCATTACTACATATTATTTTTCTTGATATTTTAAGCTTAAGCCATCGGGCGTAAAAATTGATGTAGTTCAATTCCTCCTCTTGAAATTTTTATATTGTTTTTTGAAGGGGTTGAAAACATTGCAGTAGATCTCAATTAAATCCCAAAACGAGGAATCTATGTCAAAATTTTCTTCGTCGGATTTGTTTTTAATAGATTCAATTTTATTTAAAATATCTTAGGCTATAGCCGTTTGAGAATTTTCTTATATATTATGCCATATTTCGACAATTGAACAGGCACTTGAGTATGTCCAGTGACTTAAATACGTCAAGGGCTACCAGCTGTGCTGTATGTGCAGCACAACGACACACTTGTATATTGCCTATTAAAAGCTTTGGCACGTTTTCTATTGCATCCATCTTCTTTAAATAATCTTTGTTTCTGCACTCTTCGTCGTCCTCTTCAATATTTTGCTCAGAAACGAACGATAACATTTTGGTTGCTTTAAGCATATTTGCACTGTTATCAGACGTTATGGAGACGATTTGATTTATATTAATGTGGTATTTTTTCAGCACTTTGAGCATTTCAGCGGCAAGATTTTAGGCTCCACTTGATCCTGCGCCTTTAAGCTCGATCATTCCCAAAATTATGGATTTTACTTCAACCGCGCTTTTGTATTGTGCACTAATTCCAAAAATGTTTCTTAACATTCGCGCTGCACTGTCAGTTTTCAAAGACAATCATTTATTGTTCGTTTCATCTGCTATGTGAGCCCAAATATTATTTGCCACTTTTTCTAATGTGCTTTTGCTTTAATGATGCATTTAATGACATTATTTTGCCATCTGCAGTTTCGAGACCTTCACAAATTGGATCGAGAATTTTCCTCATATTTGGCGAATAAAAAACATTAAAAGGAATACTGTCTTCTGTAACCAATCCGATAAAAGACCTTATAAGCTGTTTTTTGTTCACTTGAATCTTTATTTCCTTTTTCCGAATTGGTTTAGTCGAGGAACTTGATGATGCCGAATCAATATTACTCAGACTTAATACATTTTAGTTAATGTTATGTTGCTTTAACAAATGAGTTTTTAAATTAGATAATCTAATATTTTTAAAAGTAGTTGGGCATATGTATGTTATATTGCTTACGGCTATGCCTTCGGTTGCGTTGTTTTCAAAATGTTTACACACTACACTTGGCGCCATAGCTGAATACGTGCGACTCTATCGGCAAGCTCATTAAAAGTAAAATGCAATGGAGCTAACGACACACAATTTTTGGAGACTGCGATTACAGCAGATTTCCACGAATCTGCAGCCAGCGAAATACCCTGCTGATCGAAAGCAAAAGCGACAAAAATTAGAAGCAACCAATTTTTCCAGCGACTTACATACATACATATACGATTGAAAGCAACAGCTACAAAAATCAGAAACAACCAAAAGTCGAGCTGATCGATTTTTGGATGCCGACAGTAGCTGCCGCGCTTCGATTTACTCTCACGATCGAAAGCCACAGCAAAGCAGAAGGCAAAAAAAACGAAAATCGACGACCGTTGCTCCTGTTTGATTTTGGTCGCTTTTTCATTTTTCTTTTGCTTCGAGTGCTGCCTCCGTTTTTTCAGAAGCAGAAGCAGTCGAAGCAGTGAAAAGCAAAAATATTGCTACTTCCGCTACTTCGACTGCAGTTTTTTAAACACATATGTACCTAGTAGTCTCCTATGCACACGCTCTTGGTGAGCATCGTCACTACATGTACCGTCGAAAGAAAGAAATAAAGAAAACAATATTAAAACATACCTTTTTTTATGTATGTACATATATGATATAGTCGTCCGATACGGCTCGTTCACGCAGATAGCGTTAAAACTGAGGGAGTAGTTTGCGTGAAACGGAGAGACGGACATGGCTAGATCAACTCTCCTAATGATGCTAAATATACATACATATATACTTTATAGTCCGACCCAATGTCTCCTTCACTGCGTTGCAAACTTCTGACTGAAGTTATAATACCCTCTGCAAGGCTCGTCCAACTGAACTGCAGAGTCTAATCAAATAACTTCTAAAATAACGGCTCATATTGACCAAAATAGCATATACAGCTTGAGAAATTGCTTCATCCACGTTTCAGAGTGGCATAACAGACTTTAGCGATCTGGCTGTTATAGTACCTGAGATCTCGACGTTTATACGGACAGAAAGACGAACATTGCTAGATTGACTCGGCCATTAAATCTGATCAAGAATGTATACACTTTATAGGTTCGGCAACGCCACATTCCACCTGTTACGTACCTTTCAACGAATGCAAGATACCCTTTTACGTGTAAACAATTGTACAACAATTGTATCTGTTTGGCATTGTACGGTTTATATATTCGTCAAAAAAAATAATAGTATAAATTCACTAATATAACAAAATATAATATTACATATTCTCTAAAATTTTCAGTGTTTCCGATGTGTGGCTAACGAGCCGTATCTCGATTGGAGAAGCAAAGCTTTCCGATAGTGGAAACTATTCCTGTTCCCTCGGCAGATTGTTTACCGTAATTGTCCAAGTACAAGTGCTCACAGGTATGACTTAAACATATTTTTTTCTTTAATTCACCGATCCCATATCTTTAAAGGGGAACTACCCGCGGCTGTCCAGCACAATATAGCATCAAGGCTCGATGATATATGTTCTCTTGCTCCTTTGACACTTCTCATTGGACTCCATTTTCTCTCCAATTTTCTGCAAACTGAACGTCGATAATTCTGAGGCAATACCGTGGTCGGCATCAGCAACTGAAGCCAATCGATTTTCAAAAAACAATTAACCAATAATATTAAGGTTAACCCATTATTTTGGTTCTTATTTTATATTTTAGTTCTTAAGTTTTGAATCAGAGAGGTATTTTAATATATATTTTTGTTATAGTGCCTATGCTGTATAAATAATGGATACTTAAACCTTGTTTTAAAAAAATATTTTTAATTAAAACTCAAAATTAGTACTTGATAAAAATCGAGCTACAGACCGGAATCAATAATATTCCAGATTATTTCAAAGAAACCTACGGCCTAAAATTACTCGCAGAATTTTTAGTCCGATTAATTTAGTAATGATATTGACAGCTTGTTAGTTTTTAATGATACCTCTCAAAGAGTTAAGAAGAAAAAATTTTAGTTACCCTTCCGCAACTATTTAAAACTGTTTAAAATCTGCATACATGCATTACATACATTTTTTTTTTAGTTCTGCAGGAAAATTGAATGTACCATACGTTATTCCTTTTTTATTCCATTAATTCACAGGATAAAAATATCTTTCAAGAAAACTATCTGATTAAAACCCTTTGCGGTATACTACTTTTTCATCACCTATTTAACCGTTTGTATTTCTGGCCCTGGGCACTTCTTATATTCTGACGTTTTACTTGGGGAGTTTAAATTAATAATTAACAATAATTATTTCCGTAAGATTGATTTATTTTCGACAAAATTAAATAAAAAAGCCTTAACAGCATTTCGAATGATCAACAATTTAAAAAGTCTATAATCATGCTTTCTACGATTATTAAAGCATTACACATGTTTTCATGTAACTAACTGATCGCGATCTCGTTTCAAGAACAATAACACATCAGTTTTATAATTGCTTTATTTTATAAAAACATAATTGGTTTTGTTAAATTCAATGGTCGTAAGCGATACACAAATAGAGGCTTGTAAAAATGTGGGAACAACTTTTCACTTTGACCTTAAACTAAAAAAAAAATAAAATGATTGCATATTGCTGGCATTATTTACAATAACTTTACAATAACTATTCAACAGGAAAAGAGGCAAAGTATAGTTTTCGAAGTTTCACAGCAGTTTTGATCAGGCGATGGTAAGCTTCATTTTATCAGATCGCGAAAACATGGGCCGTCAGCTAATTACTGTGAGGGCGAGAACTCAGTTGGCGCAAGGACGCGGCAGTGCATATCTCGGATTAATGGTACCGTGTAGGCCACACACTCATCCCAGCCGGGGGATCGCCAGGCCGCCTCCCTAGTCTCTTTTCGGTCCTGCAAGGATTTGTAACCTATTGTACGATGAAAACATTAGCTAAATATAAAAGACATAAGATGCGTGCGGTTTATATGCTTACACCAAATGTGATGAACGTTGTACAGTCTTCCGATCTGCGAAAAGAATCCGGCGAAGGCTTCGTTGTTATGCTTGCGATAGTTGATGGCACGGGCCCAGTTGTTTCCCCACTCAATCATGGTGCCAGGGGTCAGTCGGTATGAGCTAAGGACACGAAATAATGATCGACACATCTTCAAACAGAAAAGACATATTTTACCGCATTTCGTAAATGTTCTTGCCGGTACGACTGGAAATCTGCGGCCAGTAGCTGAAAGCCAAGAGATATTGAAGATGACGGGAACGCAAAAACTTCGAACGCTCTTGCATCAAGCTGAGGTACTCTGGATCGTTCCAAAGGTCTTCTTTAGCCTGGTCTATTTTCTCAAAACCTCCTGTATACTTCCAGAGGTGTAGACATTGATCCATGTCCCCCACTTGCACAGTCCATGATGCCACCAAATCGCACGAAAGGTTCGCCTTTTTGTCATTAATCAAAGCCACTGTAGTTTTGCTATAAAATAAGTAAGGGAGTTCTTCAAAACGTGATTTTAAGAAACATCGGTAGAGTTTTTCTCCTAAGATTTGTCGATGGTAGTGCATAAATAAATACGCTTATTGATTTCAAATTTTATTGGCTTGGTAAGTAAAAACGGCATGTGTTCGGTCTTTACGGCCACTGTTGCATTGAGAAACCTGCGAATTCTCATTTGATACTTCTTTAAATGATTTATGTTTTCTTAATCGACACTCACTAATTATTCAAGTAATTGCTCATCGAATCGGGTCTGACGTTGTGTGTATGTAAGGCATATATGATTTCCTTATCGCTAAGCATTCGACTGTGCGACTCCTTGGTAGGCTCTATTTTCCGAACGAGCAGCTTTGAGATCCATGATTCTGAATCGTGGGAGGTTCCACTGGTGGATAGGGAGCTGAAAGTTTAGAATTATTTAATTGTATTTTCTTAAATTATTTGTTTGCACTATGTGCACTGAATAAGATAAAACCTTATATAAAGCCAGGCAGACGACAAGCTCTAAATAATAAACAATAAAGTTTTTAATTAGTGTCTCATTCTGATCGAAGATATAAAGTTTTCTGTGTGGTGGTTGCTTATCAAATTACCTTAGCCAATTATTGGGAAATAGGGATAAATAAGATAACGAATTCACCAATTTTAACGTTTTTTTGAAAAGCAACCTTTAAAAATGGGTATAGATATTCAAAACATCTCAGAAGTCATTCAATTTGTTACCAGAGCGGGGAATTTTTACTATGATTTTTAAATCATTTGCCTAATAATAATCGGATTATTATCAAACAAGAAAGGAAGCAAACTTCGGCAAGCCAAAGTTCATATACCCTTGCAGTTATTGCAAAAATTAAATATTATTTAAAACATTAAAATTATGATTAACTTGCGTTTATGTTTAAAAACATTGAAGCTATGATGACTATATATGGCAACTATATGATATCGTTTTCCGATTTTAATAAAATTAAAAGTGTAATTCTGAACTGTCACATTATTTATTATTATTTCAAATAGAATTTTTTTTTTAAATATTTTCATTGTTTTTATGGAAGCTTTAAGTCATAGTCGTGTGATTTTGATGAAATTTAAACCGGATGGATAAACATTTAATTTATTATTGATATTTTATATATTTATATCTTAATAAAAGATTAATACTCTTAACAAGAGAGAAAGCAAACTTTGGCAAGCCGAATAATAATAATATTTTACATGAAAACAGACTCATTAAGAGAACCCCTTTAACGGCCCGCCCATTTTTAAGTGTAAAAAGCATTGGCTCCTGGGACCTTAAAATCGATAACTTTTTGAAAGTTATGACTTGTAAGTAATAATTTTTTTCTTATATCCCGTTTTTTCTAATGGGCAAATTAATCATTTTTTTGGGCACGGCTCCTCTTCCGTGCCCATATGCGAAAGTCTTACCTGAAGAGAAGCAGCAGCACAACGGCAGAGGCCGACATTACGCACACAAAGAATTGCGAAGTGCGAAAATCTTCCGAAAGAATCACTTCCAAAAGATTCACACGTAATCTAAATTTCCTCTGTTAATTCTCTGTTACCTTGCGAAAAAAAATTCACGGAAACTTTCCGCCAAGCAATTGGCTGGCGTATTCAATTCCGCAAGCACAGAAATTACCTGATTTAAAATACTTAGCGATAATTTAAAGTGCAGATTAAATTTTTAACTTATTCTTTGATGTTTTAAGAACATTATTGTTTTACAAATTTGGTTTAAAAAAATATTTGACCTAATAAAACTTATTTTGTGGTTGCATATTAGAATCGGTTCTATTCTAACCTTTTGCACTTTTAAAAATCTGCCGAGCCTGTTCCAGTTTTCTAACGAATTTAGAGGAGGCTGCTGTTGTCATTGTACGAAGATAAAACAATCCTGTTGATCTCAATAACAATTTTTTTTTCATTTTTTATTTGCATGGTAGTTCTAACCAGTGCTATATGATATAGTTTATCCATTTAAACAAAACTAAAACCGTACTTCTTTAACAAAAAAAACTGAAAAACGGAGAAGTTGTATCTTTTATTCAATTTTTTTTAGATTGTTTATATTTTTATTGTTCTGACTTATATAGCGATACAAAGACAACTTTTAAGAAAGTTTTATGCAAATAGCTTTAGAACTGAGAGACCAGTAGAAATGGGCGGACCGACGGACGTATATGGCTAACAATGGAGAGTCGGACGGATATGGCTAGATCGACTCTCCTAGTGATGCTGATCAAGAATATACTTTATACTTTATACGGTCGGAGTTGTTTCCATCACTGCGTTGCAAACTTCTGACTGAAATTATAATACACTCTGCAACGGTATAAAAAAAATGTGTTCAACTAGTCTAAGAAAATCCTGGTACAACTGTCTACGAGCTGCAGTTGGAAGCCAAAGCAATGTAGCACGTAAAAACCCTTTCATATCGGAAGCAAATCGGAAGAAATTGATGGAGTTTGCTTATCAGCACCTTTACAAGCTTATTGTGATTTGGAACATCGCTATTTTTTCTGGCAAGAGTAAGTTCTGCATTTTGAAGAAATAAAAAAATATTTCTCCCGGTTCCCGAGATATAGCCGTATCAAAATATCAAATAAGACTTTCAAATGTCAGTTTAATCAACTACATGGATAATAGCATAAAATCCAAAACCAAATATATTTGGCAAAAGTTATAACGCAGAATTTCTAGTTTTATCAAGTACTTTACGCAGCAATTTTTAAAAATTGGTTCCAAATCGATGACCTTAAAAGTGTTGCCCAGTGCTATGAACCACATGGACTATAGGAAAATATAACAAAGTTGGACATTGAAGAGTCGTTTTGTTTTTAACAGGATAATGCTCCAAAGCATACAGCACAAAACGTCAAGCTCTTGCTGTACCTTAATTCAAACGAAAAACTATATTTTTTGTTGTATTTCATGGTGTACGCAAAGTTATGTGAGAAAGTGTATGTATATACATATTTATATGCCACACAAAATGTCGCTTAGAATGTTTGTAGGAAACTTTTGAAAAAAATATGGATAAACTTCCGAAAAGCCAAAACGCCAGCTCAGTTTCAAATTTTCAGGATCCATGTATTTGGGGTTCTGTTAACGAAAAAATAGGTCAAAGTTTGCGACAAGATCGATTTCATGGAAAATAACGGTAAAAACCGTTATTTCTGTTTTTTGGCCGTTTCTGTCAATATATGACCTTCATCAAAAAACACATCCAAACAAAAGTTGATGTCTTTTTGAAATACACATTTTTTGTTAAGTGACTTTTTTATGTTTATAGTTTGATCAAGGGTGTCGAAAATTCGCACCGCAGATTCCATTTGATTTTCCATAGGTTTTTGCTTGCTATGTACACATGTGCATGCATACATATACATATGACACTAAGATGAGTAACGCAAAACAAAACCAGAAAGGAAGCAAACTTCGGCAAGCCGAAGTTCATATACCCTTGCAGCTATTGCTAGAATTAAATTTTTAAAAACATTAAAATTATGATTTACTTGCGTATATGTTTAAAAACATTGAAGCTATGATGATTAGCAACTCAATTATTTGATAGTTATTTTATATATTTTTATTATTTCTATGGGAGCTATATGATATGAACGTCCGATTTTGATAAAATCTAAACCATAATTCTGAAATATTTAACCATTGCTATATGTCGAAGAACTGAACAAAAAATTAAAAAACAAAAAAG